AAAAGATTATGCAAATACCATTGAAGTGAACGGTTGTGGATGACACTGGAAAAGAAATTGTCCAAAAATCAATAAAAATTGAAAATTTTGTCCAGTATTGTTTAGTGTGTTCTGTACTTTTTTTTTCTCTCCAAATGTATTAGACCTCAATCAATCAACAACTTTATGAATTCCAAAGGGCAATTCAGGTCACACATCTCTGGTCGTGCACAATCTATAAATAATAAAATACAAAGACAAATACAACACACATCATACATTCAAACATCAGACCTCAGTTGTATATGTACTAGGGTTGTGAAAAGTACTGGAAAATCAGATTACTAATCCATACAGCCTAATACTGAAATTAGATACATCAGTATTTGTTCTTTAGTATTAGTAGTAGAGGGAAAAATATTTCAAACAGGACAAATTTGACATTTTCTTAACATTTTTTTGAATATTAAACTTGATCAGAACTGGTATAAGACCACATGGTAACAAAAATGATCAGTATGGTTTGACATTGAATATTATGAAAATCAAGTTTAAAAGTGAAGCACATTGTTACAAAACTCTTTCATAGGCATGTGAAGGCTTATCGTTTTCAATTTCTTTGATTATTGAGTTTAGACATTCAGACAGCGAGATTTTAATGCAAATTTCATGTAAGAACGCAAAATTAACCATTTCCATTTACCACAAAACATCCTATAAATCTGATGTTCTTTAAAGTTTCCAGCAATAGCCCAAATTCCCCACCAGAGGACGCCAAAGACTAGTGAATTTCCTTCATCTGTTGAGTCATTGTTTAGGCAGCACTTATTCCGCCACATTATAAAATTAATCAGGCTGGAGGTGATTTGACGTGCAGCTCATGCTAAAACTCTTCTGAATCTGTCCCAGTGGACTTTTACGAGTCTCAATCAAGATCCACAAAATCGAGACAAACTCACAATTATTTAGTTTATTTAATTATTGCATTTGTTTGTACAGTTTGAAGCTGGAGGGGTGCAGATAATAGCCACAAACACAAGTAAACCGATGACCACTATTTACAGATAAGAATAATGGGATAAACAACAACAGGCTGAGAAACACATCCAAGTAGAGGTGAGAGTTATTTACAAAAAACGAATATCTCAATCATTTTCAGACAATATTATGTTAGTTGACAGAAATGAGCTGATCCTGTCTTTATATTTGAAATGATGATGATATAAAATTAGCAACAAAACTTCAAAAATATCAAATTATCACCCTATTAACCACATGTTTTTTCAACTTAAAGGTGCATTGTCTAACTTTTCTGGTGGAGAGTATGGCATTAAACCTTTCTATCTTCATCAAGACCAAACCTGAGCAAGTTACAAGTCAGATCTGTGGAGAGGCGACCCTGCTCACAGTCAGAATGCTCAAGGTCTTTTTGAGCTATAAAACCACTTGTAATTTAATAAATGTAAGGTTGAGCTGTTTAATGTCACCTTGTGGAGCATTTCAGGCAAAGCATTGACATATCCACAGAAACAAGCAGGTGATGGACCCCAAACCAAAAACTTACATAATGCACCTTTAATTTTTAATAATTTTAACATAAATTTTATTATAAACACTAAACTAAAATTGTGAACATCTTGAATATTAAATTTTAATAACCTGCATGCACAGACCACTTCAGGCAGGCTCATTAAGATTACTGTAATAAAGTCAAACATAAACACAATTATTTTTAATGTCGCCTAGTTTATGAATCAGCAGTCAGAAATGATTTATTTGTTTGCCAGTACAGCAAGACAGTAAATAAAATACAAATAATGTAAAAAAACAAATTAATTACACAATTTAATAAGAACTGTTAACAGAGAAATTGTATAATCGTAAGGTCCTATATTATTATTATTATATTATGCTATTTTCTGATCTATCTTATAATGTAGCTTCTTCATTACAAACATACCTGGAGTTTTGGTTAATTTGTTCAATATGGAAACTCTGCATATTTAATCTTCATGACATCACATGGTGGAACAGAGCATTTTGAGCTTTCTAGATGTAGACAGACTAATAATACAGGGTAAATGAAACAACTCCAGGTATATTTTTGAGGAGGTAACAGCATTATAAGTCAGTTTTGCATAATATAGGACCTTCAACATTCATCAAAACAAAACACACAATGCTTTTTTTTACTCTAGATAAAAAAGGTACATGAATACAAATGAGTACAAACAGGAGGAAGTAGCTGTTTAGTGAGTGAACTATACGTAGTCAAATCTCTGGTTGGAGTGGCGGCCCTCGCTGGGGACCTTGTAGGAGTCATAGGCAGGGCGGGATCTGTGGTCCTGTCTGTACATCTGTGTGTGCTGAGAGGACGCTTTGTACGCGATACCGTTATAACTGAGGACAACAAACAACAGTGTGGTTAGAGACACAAGGAGAGGAGCTTCAGTAAGACTATGATATGAAAATGTATGTTTGACACCTCAAGCAGCTCTAGATGTTAGGAATAAAAAGGGAATCTATTTATATTTTCAAGTCCAATTGTGTGTTGTGATTTTTAACATGTTTTGTTACTTTTACTTAAAGATGCACTCTGCAAACTTTCTGGTGGAGGGTGCGCTACCTACTTGTCTCCATGGACATGTTATTGCTTTGCCTGGAATGTTCCCTGGTATGGCATTAAACATATCCATCTAGCATTTATTGATTACGGGTGTTTCTATTGCTCAAAAACAGAGATGGGACCAAGTTTTGCAAGTCTCAAGTAAGTTTCAAGTCTTTGACCTCAAATCTGAGTCAAGTCCCAAGCCAAATACAGGCAAGTCCAAGTCAAGTCGAGTCTTAAGTCACTGACCCACAAGTCCAAGTCAAGTCCAAGTCGTCTGCTTTGCTCTTCAAGCCATTTCAAGTCTTTAAACCAAAGTACCAAATATAGCTTAGATTTTTGCAATTTATATGAATTTTAAACAAAATTAAACTTAAAAAGTCACGGTATATTTATATATGAGTATGAGTATGAGTATATAAGAGCAAATTTTTCCTTTTTAAATGTCTTGACAAGATCTTAGTATGAATCATTACAGCCAGAAGAGAAAGAATTCAGATTTAAAAGTGCTTCTCAAGTCTTCTCAAGCCACAGGCCTCAAGTCTGAGTCAAGTCCCAAGTCACTGACCTTCAAGTCCAAGTCATTGACCTTCAAGTCCAAGTCGAATCCCAAGTCTTAGTTCATTTTATCAAGTCAAGTCTTAAGTCCGAAAAATAGTGACTCATGTCTGACTCGAGTCAAAGTCACAACTTGAAAGTCCCCACCTCTGCTCAAAAATACATTTCTGTGAATTCCTTCTGTGAATAAGGGCGACTCTCCACAGATCTGAGTAGTAATGGGAGATAAGCAGGTGGCAAACCCTCCACTAGAAATGTTATACACTGCACCTTTCATTTTGGTGTCTTTCTTTTGTGACTATTAGACTAAATTACCTTCACATCAAGAAACCGAGTCACACACATATACATATCACAGTGTACTCTGCACAGATACTGGGGATCATATGGGTTAAGAGTCTTGCCCCAGGACACAACAACAGTATGCACTTATGGAAGCTGGGTCATGGTATTATTATGAGCATTAAGCACTATAAGTCAGATCTATGTCAGATTTTAAAATTATCTTTCATTCACAATTTTCAGTCATTCCTAGCAGATGAGCTTTGGCCCAAAAGTCATGTATTAGATGGACAGTAGTGGCATAAAACCTTGCATAAATCCAATGCACAAGTCTCAATACTGCAATTCCTTCATGCACGAGTAAAATTATAACAAAAAATCATGTCAAATAAACATTTATCTCCTGCGTATTCAATTTTCCACTTGTAAAACTGTATTAGAAAGCGCTTCACATCGGACTCTCAAAGCAGAACAAATGAGACAAAAGAGTGGGGCCGCTGTAGTGCTTTGCCAGCAACATCACAAACATTTCACCTTCCACAATACGCCATTTACAATCTGCTGAGTGGCTCCTGGTCACTTTAAAGGGGGGTTTCACCACGACTAAATACGTGGTTTTGTGGTAGAGAACTGCTGCCATGACTTCAGTGTTCAGTGTTTACTATAGTCACTGTGAGGAAACTTGTGGTTCACAGACAATGGGATTTTCACAGCTTTTTTGTTAAATAAATAAGAAGTTAAAAAGGTCATACATTTGTTCCTCTATAGATAAAACTGCCTGAAAGACTCTGAACTAAACCACAGATATTTGGACATCATTCATTTGTCACTGAAATGTATGTAACAAAAAATTTATTTAATTATTAGTTATTTTATTTTTATTTTTTACTTACTTCTCATTTCTGTTAGACATCATACCCCTACAGGCCATACACATCATGACACCTCCAATCAGCAAGATGGCGCCACCAATCCACCCCACGAACAAAGCAGGACCAAACGTGTATCTGAAAACACCCATAGAACAAGACTGAATTAGGTTTTATAATTTGAGTAATTTATCATTTTCAGTTTCAACATCCTCAGGTTACCACAATAAACAACAGAGGGAGATAGAAACTAAATCCAAGAAACGATGCATTCACATACACGTAATGTTTGATTACCTGGGTGTGAGTGCTCCAGTGATCCCCCCCACGTTAGCTCCTCCCATGATCCCATAGGCTCCATCAGTGTATGTGGTGAAGCGGAAACTTTGGACGATCAAATTCGCAAAAGCCGAAACCCCAGCGATGGCACAGATTCCTGGACAGATTAGATTAACATCACGATAAATCAGACAAATCTCATCAGATCTCAGAAGCTAAATGGGGTTGGGCCTGGTTTGCATTTGGATGGGAGATTGCTGGAAATATAAGGTGCAGTGGGGCAGCAGCGGGTCTAGTTCAAACTGCTGTTGTGTCCTTAAGCAAGACACTTCACCCACCGTTCCTAGTATGAATGTGGTTTGTGAGTGAGTGACTGGATGGTGCAGATTGGCAGCATCCCTTCCATCAGTCTATCCCAGGGCAGCTGTCTTGTTAATCCAATCATTATTATCATCATTATTCTTCCTAACTTTGAACAGACTAGCCCTCATATCACACATGCATCATTTGTTTGTCATTTACTTCTCTGGACCAGCTTTGATACTGACCAATACTCTCTTGATGCCTAATTTATCTCAATCTAAACCAACCTGTAGCTCAGAAGATACCAGTAGCTCTCCATCCCCTTCCAAGTAGCTCGCCAAGGGATTTTGAAATTACACATATTGTCCTGAATAACTCAAATGTGATGAATTAAATGCCTTTTATTACTGTAAATCCATCATTCATAAATAAATACTGGGTTATGTTTTATGTTTTTTTCTAACTGTACCCCATGTAAGTCTTTCCAAGGCTCTTATATATACTTTATTTCCTGTGACCGCTAAAATTAGTAGCTCTCCGGAATTTTTTTTGTAAAGGTAGCTCACTGGAGGAAAAAGGCTGGAGACCCCTGATCTAAACCATAAACCATGATATTATATAAATGCAACATTATATGTGTATGTGTAGCCTGCTTATTTTACTCATGTTATATACTCCTCAAAAACATATCTGGAGTTGTGTTTTGTTTCATTCACACATGATTGAGTAATCCTTTATTATTAGTCTGTCTACTTCTCCAAAGTTCAAAATGCTCTATTCTACCTTGTGATGTCATGAAGTGGTAGTTTTCAAGTTATCAGCTACCTTTTATCTTTCGTTCAACAAAGAGTGGCAATTCCAGGGCTGAAATTGTCCAAATGATTCTGATGAAGGTGTATGGAGTTTAAAAACACAGTGGAGCACTTCCTGTATTACCACATGACATCCAAGGTGGAACACAGAGAAGAACGAGAGAATAACTCAGCCTGGTTCTTGTATGAATGATGTATGAATGAAACAAACCCAACTCCAGGTCTGTTTCTGATGAGGAAACAACATTATAACATACAGTACATCAGAAAACAGTGTAACATGGGCCCTTTAACTATTTTGAGCTACTGTGTCCAAGTCTGTTCAAGTCCTTGTGTATCAATAGTCTACATCAGAAGAAGTGTACCTGCGAGGATATGCATGGCGCCTGCGGTCAGCGTCATGGTGGCCTTGATGTTGCCCTCCATGTTTCCCATTTTCAGACACTTCAGAGCAAAGATGGAGACCAGACACCCAATGGCTCCAAGAACGAGCCCCACGATCATCAAGGCTCGCACGGCCTGGAGCAAGGCTGGAGGTGAAAGTAAGATCAGAATATGAAGCATTCAAAACTAACAAAGTGAAAAAATCATCCATAGACATGCATTGACTGACAAAAATCGAAATGATACCTTGCTGTGTGTCTCAGTGGTATAGCTATAATGCATAATGTATACTACAACTTCTGACAGTTTTCAAAAATCAAATTCTCTTTTTTTACCTAACCTTGATTGTCTCCAAATTTTTTTTTTAAATAATTAGCCGATCCAATTTTCTTTTACATAGTGTCTCATAGCATTACCGTATTTTCCAAACTATAGGGCGCTCTGGATTGTAAGGCGCACTGTCATTGAATTGTCTATTTTCAAACTTTTTTCACAAATAAATTGCACTGGACTTTAAACGAAACACAACAATTAGATGGGTCAGTCGGATTTGTTTGCCGCGTTCACGGTGACTCTCGGCTTTGTTCAGTTGTGGCGTGTAGGGAGGGTGCTGTCTGGGACCGCTGGATTGTTGGCGTGTTTGCAGTGACTCAGTTGTTCAGTTGTGGCAAGAAGTGGCACATTTCACTTGCTTTTTCGGTTCGTCGTCAGCGTGGAGCGATGAGTGTGACTGCGGGTATTTTTCGCTGCGAGGTCGCTGTCTGCTCCGTGTGTGTTTGCGTGCGATGCGGGTGGTGCGGCTTTGTAGTTTACTGAAGTCATGCTGGGACACCCGAGTGGATTTGTGTATAGGGCGCTCTGGATTGTGGGATGCGCAGTTGTTTTTTGATGGAGTTGGAGGCTTATGAGTGTGCCCTATGGTGTGGAAAATACTGTAAATATTTTTTCAAGGTATTCAGGGAAAAGTAAAACTAAAAATAAATGTTTTTGTTTCTTTGGCTGTAAAAATCTTTCTGATTGGCCGAGGATGAGACAAAAACAAAAACCAAAAAAACTCAAATTGGCCAAAACCCGACTTAGTAAATGACGCTAACTGATCAAGCTTTACTCAAGCTTCTCCAACTGGCTTTTACAAAATCCCACAGTACCCAAATATTCCCAGTTGTATCAGGCGAAACATCTGTCAAAAATACACCATCTTGGTCCACTCCTGCGTTTACTCTATAACTGTGCACCCCAACAATGTACATTAAGAGGATTAGCTTTCCTTTTTCGAAAACTTAAGTCACTCTGAAAAAAAATGAAGTGAAAAAGTTGTGTGTTGTACAGCTTGGCGTGTTAAAATAGTGACCAATGACTTGTGTATTGTACCTGTATAATTCCTGCTCTTAAGCCCATAAACCCTTGTACATAACGCGGTATTCAGGCACTAAGTCGAGTGTGCAAATGTGCTTTACATTGTGTAGCGCTCCTTGAAGCTTCTGCTTGCTCAGCTTAAGCCTCGGATGTTTCATCAAATTTCCATTGGATTCTCGAGAGACGCCATCTTTTCTGCTGTCGACTGCAATTTAACGCAATGGGGAAGAGGAAGAGTCCAAAAACCTCCCCAAAAATTGTAAAGTCCTGTTAAAATGTCCTCCTAATCCGACTGGCGGAATCACAGATAACGCTTCATATCTGAGGGGTAGTCTATCACCTGGCAGCACTGGGACAATTAAACAGGGAGTGTACTGGGTTGTCCTGTACACCAGTGCTTCAACTTTTAAGGCCCTATATCGCACAACATGGACTCTTGTGAGCTTTAAGTCATGTTAGAATGTTGTTACCTCATCAAAAACAGACCTTGAGTTGTGTTTGTTTCATTCACAGATGCTTCAGTACCCTTTATTATTAGTCTTTCTACATCTCCAAAGCTAAAAATGTGTGAATGAAACAAAACACAACTCAAGAATGTTGGTGATGAGGAAACAACATTATAAAATAGATCAGAAAATAGCGTGAAAATGAGCCCTTTAAGGCTACGTACCACAATTTTTGCTTTTCTTTTCAGTGGATGGATGCCGGTGATACCAGTGTGGGTGAAGCGTCTTGTCCATGAACACAACAAAACTCTGTGGTAATTTGAAGACAGTCAGTCAATCTGACATCTGGAGGTCATTTTCAATAAGCCAATTTCAGACGACTACCTTTTTACAGAGGACCACACCAGCTAGTGACAGATTGTTCTCTATACACAATTTTGTTGTGCACCTGAGCAAGACACGTCACCCACATTGTCATCGTCAAATCAGAATGCATCCACCGTAAAGAAAAAAGAAAAACTGAGAAATTATTGTGATGTTTTGCCCCACCCAGAATTGGTTGGCGGATCTGTTGTTTCCTTGTATCCAGCGCCCCCTGACTGCAGGATCTAGAGGCTGCCTGTCTATTTTTTGAAGTCGACTCCAATTCACGCTCCTCCCCGGTTGCTAGTCTTGTCGATTATATCTGTACTGTGTTTTTGTTGTATGTGCTGATGTTGCAGAGGGGTTTGTTTTTTTATGTACTGGTTCCAGATAATTACTGTCCCAGATTCCAGACAGTTAACTGTAAAAAAAGATAGCTATGTCAGATTTCAGATAGTTACTAGTAGTAAAAAAAAAGGCTCTATAAATAAAGTTTGATTGATTGATGTTTCAAATGACTGAATTTTCTATTAGACGAAACATCGGTATTACAAAAACAGTGTCGACCTTTACCATACCACAATCTGTCACTAAGCGAATATTGTAGGATAAATGCCTTTGCTGTTTAACCACAGACTGTATATATAAAATGGACATAGCTGAGAATGGGGGGGGGGTTCCGGTGTCCTGTTGACTTGGGCTATCTAGCGCTACTGCACATGTGCACTACCCCTGAGTGATGTTACAGTTTAAATGCCTCTTGTTGATTTGAGCTCCTGAAGCAGAAGTGGAGTAACAAGTAACATTTGTGTATTGGTATATCGATTTTATTGTATGTTTTGACCAGTTAAGCCTGTACACAACGACATGTGCACGTTAGATTTGAGGCAGAATACCTACGTTAGATTATTGAATAGTTTGGATTTAATATTTGATTTTATCGTTATCATTTTCATTACATCATATTTTATTTTGTTTCCATGTGTAGAAAATGTTGTAACTTTGTTTAGAAAGGCACTATATAAATAAGATATCACTATATTATAATAGGAAATTCACACTGTAGCCTATGGTATTAGTGTTAAATATTATTTATTTAACGCTATTTATTATAAAGATGTCAGTGTTTCCAGTCATTTCTTTCTCTTATATAGTGGAAGCCTTATTTGATAGAAGATATAAGCCTGTCACAATGAATTATCTCTACCCATATTCATATAAATGAGTAAATAATGGTGATTCTACAGTGGGAGCATTATTCGATGGCTAAATTGGCCTGTTTAGTCAGAGCCCTATTCGATAGCATAATACGACTGTTGAAATCAACTACCTACACATATTCATATAAATGAGTTGAAATTTGACATAACTAAGGTATAAAGTCTGATCACCATGTGCAAATAGGATAAAACCAGCTGTCTCTAATCCAAAGAAATACGTTGTAAAACTGGGGAGGTTAGGCTTTATTGGATCTATACAACTGTAAACGGAAAAACGTAAGGTAGGTTATTGCGATGGGGTAGATCTCGATAGACGTCACTGCAGATTTAGGAGTTAATTTTAACGGGGCAGCCCATTTCGACAGAACACCAGCTCCATCCACTCTGTTTCCAATTCCAAATGAAAATTTTCACCTGTCTCTCTCTAACTGCTGTTGCGAGCTTCATCATTTTGGTCTTAAAATGTTCATATTAACCCCTCTACATGATCCTGGTGTTTTTATTTAGCAATTTCTTACATAAATAAATTCCTATTCCTAATATGGACCTGGCTCCATATTTGCTCGTATAATTCCTAGCCTTGGTGAGCTTCATTTGACTTGAGCCGAATGCTATGGATGACGTCACACTCCCTTCGTCCATTTCTTTATACAGTCTATGGGTTTAACATGAAATAAGAGAAGTTTCTCCTGTAGAATCTCAACACAAAAAAGTGATGGTTTTAAACATTGATCTACACCATTAATCTAGTCTGGTCCTATATGACGTGATTAATATCCTGAGATTTAACCTGCCAACTGGGGTCCATCTCACTGAAACAACGCCATTTTGTAGTTAAAATAAAGCTGTTAGTGTCCTGAAATGGCAGCTCATGTGCAGTCTTATCTCAAGGTTCTTATCACTTGTTTGTCTAAAATGTCCGTTCTCCTTTGTGCCACTTTCAGGAAACAGTGGCAGTGGGAGCACACCTGTGTGAACCGCAGGAGTGGAGTGACCTTATTCATTTCCATCTACTCAGAAATGATATGTTAGAAATACATTATTTCATCTGATTTGACAGCTCATTATGAATAATAATGTATGTCATTTTATCAAGTTTTAAGTCTTTTTCGTTGCCATTATGACATTATGACATTACTGAGGGCTATGATGCAGACAAATGAGATGAGATCATGTAAAGGTTTTTATACATAATATGAGATTATTAATTCAGTTATAGTAGTGATTTTATTATTTATAAAACATTTTGGAATAAGCCTGAAATTAATAAATTTTTTTGAAAGAGAACAGATGAATTGAATTGAAATACTTTACTCCTGTACCCATAAGAAAAATAGAGAATATCTACAAGAAAATTATTTTAAATTGAAAGTATAATACAAATGTTTAAAGCCACAGTATACAACTTTTTAACCAAGAAAACTAAAGCATGTTTTTATTTAGCTATTTATTTATACTTATATATTAAAATATGCGTTGTTACTCTGAGTGAGCTTGCATCTCCACAGAACTGACTTTTATATGGAGAATGTTTTTAACTTTCTATTTTCATGGAATCATGCCGGTGATATGTCAACTCTATAAAGTTAGATACTATGACTTTATGTATACAGTATGTAGCAAAAAATATTGTATTATTGTCATTATGTCACAGAGGTGCAGACCCCTTTCAAATCTTCCTTCAAAATTGCACAGTTAAAGATGTAATATTTGTCTGATATAGGGCCAATATTAAAACACAATTTCACATTCACTGTAATCTCACATCTTGGCAGTACATGCAGTATATTAAACTGAATGAATATTGTCCCCCGCCCCACAGCCCGGGCTCACCTGGCAGTCCCAGAATGGTGAAGTAGGGCCTGCACTCAGTGAAGCCTGAACTCTGCCTCACACAGGACCTCCACAGCCCTGAGTACGAATACACCGCTGTCACCACGTTATCAAACAGGTCCTCTGTCGCCCACTGGTCCATCGCTGTCGCCGCAACCACCAATGCCACCCCCAGCAGGCTCAGCACGAAGCCCAGCGCCTGGCAAAGAGTGGCCGCCATAGTCCCAGGAGAGAGGAGAGAGGAGCGGGACTGAGGTGTGATGTAGTCTGAAGTGATGTTTGGTTTTGATATGGGTTCAGAGGGACTTAACCATTTCTGACCTTGTTTGTTCATCTACGTGAAGCTGGGCGGAGCTTATCGGTATCAGCATGATTCAGAATAAAATAATAAGTGTACATGTGATCACTAGTAATCACTTAAAACATTTTATATAACAACACATTCATCTTTACTAGAAGTATTTTTGAATGGAATATTTTTGCCCTATTTGAACAACTTGGACCAATAGACCATCCTCAAGATCACTAAATAATTTTAAATTGGACATATGCATAATGGATTTGTTAATTGACATTAGTTATAGCAGTTATAATGCTGTCATCTCATTAACTTAATCAAAGTTGTATTTTGATAGATTTATGCATATTTGAGTAAATTGAGTATTGTCCAGCAGTCGAAGCTTGATTGCATAGATCATTTCAGTTTTCACCCTCCCCCTTTTACCATCCACTGCTTTGTACTTATAATCAATTCAATTCAGCCTTCGAGTCATACTTATAGGGTTCAAAACTCAACCATTTCTCAGCAATAAAACATGTAAAGAAAAATGTGCTTGTCATTGTCAAATGCCTCTGTGAAGAGGTGGGGCCTATCAGTCCTGCAGTTTCGAACTGTCAATCAGTCAGTGAAATGGTTTCTATTCTTTTTGACCTATCTGATCAACTTTGACCCATAGGACACACAAATAAAAAATTAAATAAACAATTATTAACAACAAACAAATGTTCAAGAGCATAGCATAAGGGGTTTCTCTACAGTTTTTCTCAAACCGTGGTCACATTTTGACACCACTGGTACTCTCGAGGTTCTGATATTGTCTGTACTTGGTGTGAAAAGTCTGAAAAGCAGTGATAGTTGCAATACAGAACAATCTCATCATCTCTTCTAATTACATATACAGGTTACCTCAAAACAGTATATACATGGCCCTGTGTGTGCTGTTGGTGTTGATACCAGGGGAGGTGTGTGGAGCGCTGGCACTGGTCAGGTAAAGGCAAACACTGATATGATTGTATCAACTGAAACCCATTTGTATAATGAAAGAGCAGGTGAAACTGGGCCACAGAGAGTGTCAGAAACGCCACACGAACAAATAAACACATTACATACTACAGTTACAATTTTATATACATTTTAACTTTAACTCACACATAATGGGAAATAAGTGAAAATTCCTTTTTCAGTAGACATATTCAAGGATATATTTCAGGATGTTACCTCTGATTTCTAATTTAAAGTTAATACAAGGAAGGACAAAACAAAAATATGGATGATGTTAGCTTGCAATCTCAAATTTAGTTTCTTCCTTCTGTTGCAGTTTCTTGTATTTTTAGAAGATCTGGGCCTCCTTGTAATGTTTTCTTGCTCCTCTGGCTCAGGCTTTGTTGTTGGGGCCTGGGTTGCTAGTGGTGCCTGAACTTTGGGTGATGGATCTGATGAGGTCTTGTGATCTTCTGTCATTCTCAGAAGCTTGGAAGGATAAACTTCTATTTGAGGTTTGACATCTACAGCCTGCTGAGAAGTTTGCATCTTGATTGGTCTCATGGCTGCTTTTTAGAGACCTACAGTAGGTTGGTCGACACTGGGTTTATTGGGTGGATGCTCTCTCCTCCTTTGGTGGCTCTGCTGGTTTTGTTCGGGGATCTTATTATTGGGTCTAGGTTCACCTTGTTTTTTAGGGAAAGGACCAGGAAATATAACATGTTTAATAATATATAACATAGTAATATGTTCATCCAATTTCTTGTAACTATTCATATTTATAGTTTTTGTACAATTTATATTTAATCCCTTGTATGTAATCTATTGTACTCAGTGCCAGTGTTGTAATTGTATAAGCATTTAATTTGTAAATCTAAAAATGATAAAAAGGGTGGAAAAATATGCATAAATATAGATTTTTTAAAATGAAGGAAATGAATGACAAAAATGAAATGTAATTACGCTAACTATGCTTTAGTGAAATGATTTGTCTAAATTGTTATACACACTTACGTAACCCAGTGGAGTACTTCAAATACTCATGTTAGATAAATGCTTATTATTCAATGTGTTGAATAGTTAGGAAGCTTGATTGATGTTTTAAAAACATTAAAAACAGAACTAGTTCTCAATATAAGGTAATTGAGGAATAACTTTGTACCACTGTAAACAAATGAAAATGAACTTGTTCTGTTTTTAATGTTCTTCAGACAGTAAAAAAGTACTTCTTGTGTCCCTACTCCAGACCCATGCACAGTGGCCACATGCAGTGATAGATGTGCCAGAAGCTGTGTGCTAATGATTTTCAAATGGAGCTGATTCAAAGTCAGACTGAACCTTAGGCAAATAACTCCTGTAGGAGCCAATGTTTGTTTAATATGAGTAACTGGTACATACACACATTTATCAACAGACTGTAGACTTATGTGAATGTAAGGAGCTGCTGCGATTGGAGGAAATTTAATATTCACACTTGAAATTAGAATTAAAAGTCAAGAAAGCAAAACTGGACATAATGTTTTTAGTGAACAATCAAAATATTTTAGCATGTATATTTTGAGCCATCACTTCAGAAAATGCTTTTTAGACAAAACACTTTCATTTACTGACATGACTTCTGTCTGCCTACCGGACTTTACAGCAGCAGACGTGTAGTTCTGTCCTCGGAACAATAGAGGGCGTCACAAGTGCAGATCAAAGTATGAATATGTTCTCATGCTCAGGGAATAATCAGGTCAACCCTTTGATAACCAGGCATGTATTAAAACTATACTTCAGATGACCTAAGAGGAAATAAATTAAAGTATTTTTTTAGCATATGATTCAAGTGTATGACAATCAGACACAACTCTAGTAGCTCTACTCCTTTTTCCCCGGTTTCCAGTGATTCTGTGGCTAGATTCAACATTCTGATATTTATATCGTTCTATATTGTTCGTATTATTATACATTTTTTCATTTACAAGAGCCTATAAAGAGAACAAAACTAGGCTCTTTTGAGAAGTTGTTATTTTGCTTCGTTCATAATTCTTGGATTAGGTTCCAGAGAATGGCATCAGTATCAGCTTAAGGAAAGGTGAGCCCTAATGAAGGAAATTTTTTCAAGGTATTTTTTGTTGGTATGCTGTTGCTGATATTATAATCTAATTGCAAAAAAGCTTAACATGATATAAATTTGCATGCTGTTTTATATTTTGTGATTTTGATTTTGATTATTTGTCCAATCAGAAAGCAGAGCTGACACTTAACTTTGGGTTTCTATTATGTTAATTCAGCTTCAGCCCCTATGGCAATAATCATAAACTGCCTGTTGCTGCAGAAAGAAACACCTTAGCACGCCAAATTTCTCCCAACCCTATCCAGTAAGTTGCACTTAACCACTCTGCCCCATGAAGAATGAGGTAAAACTTCAAAATTCCCAGAGCAATTAACCAATCAGAAGATGGCAGGATGCGGTGACAGAGTGCGCACATCACGAGTGGACAGGCGAGCATCCGTTATGCTTTCAACAGGGCCAGATCTAAATTAGAGAGCCAATTAACTCTGCTAATAGCCCTCTCCTATTTAATCTGGAAGACAATGGGGACTGGAGAAGGAACGCTTACAATATCCTCTTTCTACACAGTCCTAGGGTTTGTGTGCGCTTTCTTGTTTTCACTTCAATTAGCCCGGAGCTTCCATGATTAAGTGCCTATAATTATTTTTCAATTAAGGCTATGATCAGCTGTGTACGGTATACAGGCGGATGTGAATTTGTGCCACTCGTTGGCAGTGTTGTGCAAGTTCACACTTTTCATGAACTAGTTCAAAGTTCAGTTCACACATTTTCAAAGTGAACTGTTCACGTTCATAGTTTACAATTTTAATTTTGAACTAGTTCAAAGTTCAGTTCATTTTATTTTTAGGTGACATATGTAAATGAAAGGCTGGACTTATTTTTCAAACTGACTTCTGACTAAACTGTGCGTATATCACGTTGGAGATGGTTCATGTTTTCAGAGATCATATGTGTGCAGGTTTAACACAGCTCTTTATTTCACTGTCATTTCACTCACTTTATTTATGTTGGTAACGTTATTTATTTTGGTTACTGTTGTGATGAAAAGACTGAAAAGTGTTTGTCTTTTGGACATATGCACACTCAACTTTATGTTGCAGTAACCGGAATACTGCGTATACATGCACCATGAGGAAACCGGGATACTCAAAAAACCTGATCATACCCAGGACACTGATGTGCATGTAACTGCATTCAGTGAGTAGTACAGTGATCTCCAAGGAGGTGCCAGAGCTGAAATGTGGGACCATGAGGCTGCAAATCAAGTGTTTGTGCTGTGAGACGCAGCCTCGTCTCCATACACTACACACAGCAACCTACATTCAGTTTGTCGATTAAAAATGAACATGATCGATGAAATTGTTAACGATCGATTAGTCGACTAATCATGTCCATCCTTACTTCACACTACATTACCCAAGATGCATTGCACACACAAGTGCTCTCTGGTGAGGCTGTGTGGGCAGTGAGTGACAGTGCAACATGCAGTTTAAAAAGTTCGAGCATACCATGTGACTCGACTCATCAGGTGAAAACAATTTCCGACGTTTAATTGAACTCCAACAGAGATGTACATCTTGCATCTCGCAGAATCTAAACAAATTCATGTTCAAGTTCTTCATTTACAGAAGTGTTGCATTCAGTTCAACGTTCACTGAAAAATTTGTGTTTAATGAACGTGTTGTTTTGAACTCGTTCATTCATAACACTGCTCGTTGGCAATATAGTGATGGTGGAGTTGCAAAGGAGTTTGCGAAGGAACAGCAACTAAACAATTTGTATGCACTTATAACATTGAAAAAAGAATTATGCAGAAGTTTAAGTAAGAGACTCTCTGGCTCCATCATGTGCTTATTTTCTACAGTATATACCTGAGATGTGCTCAGTATGGTAGTAGGGG